CCACTTTAGGATACATGGCAAAATTATTTTACGATAAATGAAATGCAATGCTTTGATATATGAAATGTTTTGATATTGAAAGTGTTAAATGGTTTGGAAAGAATGTTTTGAAAGAATGTCTTGAAAGAAAGGATGTTTTTGATTGAAAAGAATGTTTTGATAACGTGTTTTGAAATGTTTTGAAATATAAATGCTTTACTTTTGAAATAAGTATTTTGATACTATTGTATGAAATACATAAAGCATGGAAAGAATGTAAAGAAATAGAATGTAATGAACAGATCGGAAAGAATTGGAAAGTAATGAAAAGAATATATTGCCCGAGCCATGATACCTCGTAAGAGGCACTAGAGCAATTTATCAGGGTGGCGCATCCCCTTCACGAGATAGATGTCCTAATGGAAATGATGCCTTGGTGGATTGATTTGTTCTTTCCACCTTGGTCTAGACTTGTGAGTGGTTCCTTTATTGGACGTAGACCCTAAGTACAAAAATAGGAACGATTTAATACCGGAATGAGCCCTTAATGATAAAATAAAATGGAATATGGAAATATGTCTTTTGGAATGAAATGATAAGATATGAAATGAAAGGAAATGAAATGAAATGATATTTATGATGTGTACGAAACGAGTGTTTCTTGAAAATGTTTGAAACTGATTTATGGTCTAAAACTATGTTTTGTAAAGATGAAACGTTTTTGATGAAAATGTGATAAACGTTTTGGGTCTCAAACCCACGTAGCTAACGACACATTCTTATCTTACGTATCTATTTTTAATTTCATGTATCTCAGGTTACACTTAAGGGGAGAGGATGATAGATGAAAGTTAGAAGTGTTACGTCGTAATTTCTTAATCAATATTTTCATTTCAAAACACAATAAAACTCATTTTTCAATCTCAAATTCACAAGTGTCTAAAATGTCAACAATCCACAATATAAATCACAATCCCAGAATCATAAAATTTTATCTCGCCAGTGTGTACAATCATGCCGGTGCCTTCCCGCGATCCTCAGAACTACCTGAAACACATAACACATAACATGGTAAGCACAAAGCTTAGTGAGTTCCCCAAAATACCACACACAACTTGTTAGACATTCGAGGCTCAAACTCAATAAGACCCTCTGGTCAATGTGTCTCAGTGGGGCCCTCCGGTCCCACAACACAGTTGGACCCACTGGTCCCTCAACTCAACAACTCGATACAAAACACATTATGCATATCAGAAAACATATTGCATGATAGCTCAATACACAGATAAACACATAAGATATCTCAGTCACACGAAATTACCACTCATGGTAAAGCATAGTGAGAAGACTCACCTCGTAAGCTAGCAAGTGAAAATCTCGTACTCGGAAATCTCGAAGTTTAACCACCGGTCTAGCCTCGTAAGCTAGACTAACCCTTCTACATACTCACATAAGGGTAAAAGACTATTTTACCCCTCCATAGGCTTAATAGTCCAACTCTCTACGCTGGGCGTACTCGGCTGCCATGCAGGCATCGGGGATGCTCGACCCCTACGTTGCGCGTACTCGGATTACACCCATCGTACGTCCTAGTTTCACTCTACTCATATATTTGGTCTTAATCAGTTAAGAACCTTGGCTCATATCACAGATCTGGACTCCCTAATATCTCTTAATCCATAAAGTCAGTGACTTTAAACCTTTGCATGGCTGATTAGGTCACAACCGCTCAAAACACTCATCATCTTTCCTCATCAAGATCATATCTCATGCATGGCTCACTTCTCACGTCCAAGATTAGATTTTTATGACTTTACTCCACAAAATACACTAAAAGGGGGTAGATCAAGGTCTCTGGAGCTCATTGACTCATAAAGTCTCCATCTTTTGGGACAAAACCCTAAAATACTCCATAAATATGCACAAATCAAAAGAGTGAGAAAGCTTGAAGCTTTATACCTCTATGTGAAGCTTTCCACACAACTAATCTCAGATCCAAAAGCCTGGACTCTCACTCCTTCTCCAAGGCTTCTTCTCCACTTCAAGAACACAAGATCACACTCACAACCTCTCAAATGCACTGACAGGCTATAAGAACAAAGATTTAGGGTTAAGAGGGTTTGGTGTCTGGGAATGGTGGCCAAGAATGAGGCCATCATATCCTTTATATAGGGTCACACCCCAAATTAGGGTTTCCACTCTGGGCCTAGTATGCCCAGCGTACTCTCCGGTACGCCCAGCGTACTAGGTGGTCTCCGCGTCAAAAGCACGCTCATGAGTACGATGAGCGTACACTCTAGTACGCCCCGCGTACTCATTTACCACCTTTTCTCCAAAAGGGGCCAAAATGGACAAATGCTCAAAAGACCAAAGTTTTCAAGGTATACCTGGACTCGGGATGTTACAAGAAGTCAGGTGATAGAGAATGGAGTGGAACTTGATAAGTTCCTTGTTAATTGTATTGATGTAATTTTTATTTGATTGCTATGATTGTATTGATGGTTAATGGTAACATTCAATGTTTTAAATTTGTAAATGTTTTTGTGGAACAGATTTTTGTTAAATATGTGTTATCATCGGAATGTTTTTAAAACCATAACATTTTAAAGTTTAAAAAATTTTGAAATTTTTTTTGAGGTGTTACATATCTTTCTCAAACTAGCCTAAAGCTGAAATCAACTAACATAATTACATAAAATTTCAAAAGTTAACGGAATCTCAAACCCCACTCTAAATCGTGTTTCTACGCCAAAATTATGTAGAAACTCCACTTGCACCATTTTAATATATCAATACAATAATATAACATCAAATTTGGTTTTGTATTATTTATTTGAATGTAATGATTGTTTCTTACAATATTAACTTATATAATAAATTGATATTTAATATAGTCATAATATAAAAATTAATTTTTATGTTTTCAATTTATGTAATAGTTATAACACATTAGATTAAAAAAAACAAAACAAAAAAAACCATAGCATATTTTACAAAAGAAAAAGGTTATAGTCATTAAAACCCCCAAAATTTCACAAAATATATGATTATGTACGATATCAGTTTTTTGGTGCATTAGTGTCTCAAAGGACACGAAAATTTGTTCATTTTCGTCATTTAGCCAAATTTTACATTCTAAGGCTAGCCATCTTAGATGACTTGGACGAAGTGGGAGCTGAAATGCACATGGCTGGCTTCCTTCAATAGAAAAAACGCAATGGGTGACAAAATAAGGCTGGCGAATTTCAAACCAGGGTCTCTCAATCTTGAGGCAAGTAGGGTGAGCAAAAAACCGCACCGCAACTAAAATTAAATGTAAAAACCGCATAAACCATAACCGATTAACTGTAACCACAATAAAAACCAATGATGAGGTTTTCTGTTTTTCAAAAACCGCAAATTTGCGGTGCGGTGCGGTTATTAGTTTTTGAAAACCGCACAACACCGCATATATTATATATAATTTTTTTTTATTAATTATTAATATATTAAATATTAAAAATAAAACAAGTTTAATGGATGAAAGAAAGATAAAATTCTAGAAGACAAAAGTGTCTTTAACTTTGAAAAATGATGAAATTTGTCAATTTTAAGATATTTGTTGTTAATTACTAGTGATTTAACGTTTTTAAGATATTAGTTGTTTGTAATTTAAGTTAATTGTCTTATATTTTATGGTTTTTTATTATTACAAGTAATATGTTTAAACTTTTAAAGTTGTTTGAACTCTAAAGTGCGGTTAAAAACCACACAAAATAACCGCACCAAATTTATGCAGTTAATAACCGAAACACAAAAAAACAAAATCGCACCGCAAAAATAACCGCCTAACGGCACCGCAAAAATAACCGCACCAAGCGGTTTTGAAAATGGATAAACCGCATTTGCGGTTAGTAGTGAGGTTTTGGCCAATAACCGCACCGAACCGCACCGCGCTCACCCCTACAGGCAAGTGCTTCAACGACTAATCTCGACGGAGTTTTGTATTTTAATGCCTAACTTAATATATTTTATGTATATTAAGTTGGAACATTTAAATATTATGTGTCGTCGTCGTTGTCGTCGTCCTTATTATTACTATTATTATTATTATTATTATTATTATTATTATTATTTTATAAATTTATACATACATATTTATACGTATAAAAACCGTATTTATATACTTAAAATTGTACGTATAATTTTAAAAATATATAAAGAAGTTTCAAAATGCATAAATAAGTTTGCAAATTCATATAAATATGTATAAAATCCATATATATATATATATATATATATATATATATATATATATATATATATATATATATATATACTATTTTATAATGAATGTATAATAAGAAGCATAAAAGTTTTAATACCAAGTCTTAAACTAAGGAGCTTAAATCTTGATCATTAATTTTATATCAAATACTTTTAATGATCTAAAATGATGATCCTTATTAAATAAAAATAATCAATCAAAAACAACATTTAAAGCAATGACCACTTTTACCGCAATATAAAAGACGGCACTTGGTTATTTACCCAAATGTGCAAAACACTTTTTTCTTTTACAACCTTCATTTGAAAACTATCACCAGACTATCATTGTGACACCGAGAAAAGAACAATGCACCCCCAACTCACCTATTGCTGCACCATCGGAGGCTCCTCTTTGCTACTTTAATCTTTTATGCTTGCCTTCGATCTGGAATCGACAATGCCACCGCCACCATCGCCTTCATTACTAACGTTCAGATCTACCACCACTGTCTTTATCCTTTTTTTTTACTGTGTTTTTATTTTTAATATTTTTTATCTCGTATATGTTGTTTTTATCATTACAAATCTATTCATCTTCATTTTTTTGTAGACCATGTGTATCTTTTTTGGTTTTAAATGATTGACCCACAAAAAATGGTGTAACATGAACTACCCCATAAGAACAAGAACCTTCTTGTTCAAGTTTTTTAACATTCTCTTACTTAGGTCTTCCTCATATCCTGCACTTTCAAACTCATCATTGTTGATCACACCTAATCATCATCTTGGTTTAAATCTAATTCTATGTTTAGTCCTTGTCCAAACCATTCAACCTCATCCATGCAACTGCTAAACTCTCTCATATCAACCTCCAAGTAATCTAAAATAGCCTTTGGGTCAACAATGTAGTCAGAATCATCCTCTTCTTCTATATGCTCTTCTGAATCATCTTTTGAATCCTCTGCATGCCCTTGTTCATCCTCTTCATCCTGTAATTCTTCAACTTCAACCTCTCTTTCAAACCCACCCACATTATGATATCCATCACTGCTAAAAGGCTCAAAATCATCTAGTATTTCCCTATGATCCTGGTAATTAATATCCACTATAATTTCTTGCATTGTATGAGTTTCTTTTGGTACAAGGAAATACAAATCATCCTTAAACTCATTAACCACATCTTGTTTGTTTGGCTTAAAAGGAACTAGGGACATGGAAAAATCATACACACCATCTTCTATCTGTGCTTGATTAGCCAATTCTTTAAGTAGGACATTTATGTCTAATTTCTTGCTACAAGAACGAATTCCCTTCTTCTTAGGCCTAATCCTATTAAGTTTAGGAGAAAGATCATCATCCAGTTGCTCAATAACAACTTTACTTGGAGACATGAAGTAAGTGTGAAGTCTTGTAGAACCATGTTCAACGTACACATTAAGCACTCTGTTTTGAGGGACGTATTGAGCCATAGATAAAACATCTTGATCATTTCCTAGAGCCTTTAATCTAAAATCTAAGTCTAGATTAGGAATTCTATAATGATAGTACATTGTGTCATCCGCAGAATACCCTATCTCACGAATCATGTCATTTAGATCATGAACTGAAAAAAAGATCAGTATCAACAAAGTCAAAGAATGCCAACCTTCCTTCAACATACTTTCTTCCTGAGAACCTTGTAAAAAATCAACCACGATGTATCTTTAAAGTGAAGAAATTTGCGTGACCATCTGAAAAGGAAAAATCAATGAGCTTTGAATATAAAACCAAGAAACACCAAACAAAAAATTAAACAACTTACTGTAATTTTATCAAGGTCGGGTGCAATCGTACGAGGACCACGTAAATTCCACATACACAGTACCATTTTTTAGTTGATAAAAACTAAAATCGGATGCGAGGGATGAAGGATGAAGATCGTGAAGATGATCAGTAAGATAAGGTGAAGTGGAGATGAATGAGAGTTTCTTGGACTCTGGTTAATCAGAGGATAGGTTAATGACGTATCACTGCCTAATCACATCTTAAATGAGCGCCAAACATGAAAAGACGAATATACCCCCACATTAATGACCCCAAACAGCTATAAACTGACGGAGTTTTGAAAAAGGACCTCCAGTGCAATTTTTGCATACCACAAAGGTCAAACGCATCAAAAAAAATTAGTAGGGATTAACTTTGTTATTTTTGGCAAACCACAGAGACCATTTCTATAATTTTGTATAAAAAATATGAAATCTAAATGGCTTTGGATATTTTTAAATGTTTATAATAAATTTACCCTTTCGGTGTATGTAATTCAATAATAATATTTGGTGTAAAATACAAATTTATATGACAATGATATATATCATCTAAAAAGCTTAAAAGTTAAATTTTAAAGATAAAAAAAAAAGTTTGATCATTGTTAGATAGTTTATTTTGTTGCTAATAACTAATGGAATATTATCATCGTTAGAACTAATTATTATTATATATATATATATATATATATATATATATATATATATATATATATATATATATATTAAAATTGTGGAGGAAAAGAACAGTAAAATTGGCATAGTTTGTCCACCTTTGGTCCCTTGAATTACATATATGGTCCTTGTACTTCTTTAATTAATTTATTCATACCCTTTTGTTTGTGGGCCTCGATCTTCCAGATCATTCCCACCGCCAGGGTGGGTTTAATTCCTTAACCATGGTCACCGCTTCATTTGGATCCTTCCAAATATCGGTTTGCCGGTCATTAGGGAATCGATCCTTCCACTTTCTTCTTTCCACCGTCCTTATCCAAACCTTCTGCTTAAAACCACCGTTTTTTCCACATGTTTTCGCCGTTGCTTTCTTTCGCTCCTCTGCAAATCCACCGCCTCCATAAATGGACTTCTGCCTTCCAGTTCCTTCCACGGTTTGATGCTCTTCCAAGCGACGGCTTTCCCCACCCGACCTCCACCTCCACCTGGTAAGGTAATTTCTTTCATCTACGGCTTAACGATTCTCGATGTTTAATTTAGTTTTCGCTCCCCAAGGTCTTCTGCTCAAGTTCTGTCTTCTTCACAGATCTTCCCAACATCACCACCGTTCATGGCTATAATCGCCACCTCACCTAAAACCCTTCCGCTCCAGTTTATCTCCAACTCAGGTGACCGCCATAGAAGACACCACCATCGCCTTCTGCTTCTCAGGTATCGAATCAATTTTGTAATACCTCAAATCGATTTCATTCTCAGACGTACAGAGGTTATAAGGTATTGATGCATCATCGGTGCCGTCCAGGAAGATTCCGCCGGCTTCTTCGATGTTGTGGGCCCGTAACCTCCGTAATTTCGTCGAATCTGGTGTTTGTCTTGGCTCTGAAGCTTTAATGGGTAAAATTAATTAGTTTCCCCCAAATCTGTCTCTTCTATTACTGTTCACTTATGAATACGTTTATGTGCTAAGATCTTTGTTCGGGTTCCCTATCTTCTTTTATCTATTCCAACTGCTTCCCACAGTCTGTAAATTGATTTCAGCCTCCGTTTTGACAAATTTGTTTTCGCATTGATCTTAGGAATGTTTTCAGGATTTTGAAATCCCCAGCGTTGGTGGGTAGAGCACAACACACCGCCTCCCTTCTTCCAATCAGGTGGTGTTCTGCTGCTCGCTTCCTTTTCTTCTGCCTCCGGTTTTTTGATCTCGGATCAGGTAACTAATAATGTCTAATTCTTTGTGATTTTTGTGACAACCCGAAATTTCCAATTGTTTTAACTCCGCAGTCAAGCACTTCAAAAATTAGCCAAATTCATCTCAAAAACATTTTTGGCCGGTTTTAAGTCCATTTGAGTATTTTATTTTAATTTTTCGTCAAACGAGCAAATAAATGGATGTGTCCGTTAGGTGTGTTCTGTAACGAGATAAACAATAAACACCTTGACTAGGTGTTTATGGCCAAACAAGGGGTTTGCACCGTAAACTCCTTTTGACATGAACTCATGCATATAGCATGAGTTTACACTCCATTTCCCACTTTTCCACTTCCCACTAAAGAACACCAAGCCTTTTTCCTCTCAAGTATCATCACACACTTCTTCCAAATCCACCAAAAATGTAAGTTTTCCTTCCTAAATGCGTTCATACAACACTTAATCTAGTGTTTGTGCATCATTTCATCCATGAATTCTTCATTTTTAACTCGATCTTCAAGTGTTCTTCAAAACACCAACAACACCAAGAACACACACTAGTGTTTTTGGGTCCTAAACACTCCTACAAGCTTCATATAAGTAAGTACACTCCTCCTAGCTAGTTGATAGCTTGGTGTACTTGTTAATCCATGGAATGAACACCAAAAATCCCCAAGAACATGTGTTTACGGTTTGGGGATCTCCCAAAACCGTAAACACCTCCAAAAGGTGTTTAGATGCCCCTAATGCCTTCTAATGTTTGTTTAAAGGAGTAGAACCTTGCATGCATGAACTAGAAACCCCAAAAACATGAAAGGAATAGACAAACATGAAATTACGATTTGGGAATGTCTCCCAAAACCGTAACCACCTTCCAAGGGTGTTTAACTGCCCTTAACACCTCCTATGGCTTGTATAAGTGACTAGAACCTTGCATGCATAAGATAGAAACACCAAAACACGAAAGAAGAGGATAAACATGAGTTTACGGCCGTAAACCCATGTGTTTACGACCTTAAACTCCCAAGGAGTGGTCCAAGGACCGTAAACTCCACCAAGGGTCCATTTGGAGCCCTAGTCACTTCCTAAGCCCTTGATTCGAGCCTAGCTCACTTCCTTGAGTAGTATAAGACCTTAAAACATCCAATGGCACCATTCCCATGAGTTTACGGCCGTAAACTCATGGGGGAAGTGGTCCAGAAACCGTAAACACCCCTAAGGGGCACCATTTGAAGTGTAAACTCCATAGTGAGGTCATACACTCCTTATATACAACCCTGAGTACTCTTAGCACTTGTAGCAAAGTGTTTTCATGTATTAGGGTGTCCTAACTCACTTAATTAGTTATTAAATGACTAATTAGATACATAAATGTATCATTGCATGATCAATAGGATCCGAGTGTGCGGTCAAGTCCTCACTTGACACATAGCATCCTATACCATCCGTCCATCCGAATCACCCACGACAGGTGAGTTCATACCCCTATACGTTTCCGAGTTTTTCATGTTTTCAGGGGGGGGAATACAAGCAAAAGTACAAGGAAACTTGTGCTCCATTTATCTCTTTTTGTATAAAATGATTTCATGTTCAGCATGCTTTTAACTCAGAAAATTGTTTTACAAATCAATTAAGAAATCAACTCGTAGTAATAATTTCCAAATCTAAAGCAAGGAACTCGTGAACCTTATCATAATATGTATTATTTCATAAAGGATTCATGAAAATCATAAAAGGATTTTTGTATTATCACTTGTAAATTCGTTAGGCTAAGTTTGAGACATGTCCTCGGCAACACTCCCCCGGATTCGTGAGTGGAGGGACATGACTTATAACCATAATCTCTTGGAGGGAGAGCGTGACTATTGTGTATAGATCTATATGAGACTGACTATCTCACACCCTCGCTGCTAGCTACAGTGGAACTCTTTGGTTCAGGGGTGACAAAGTCATAAATGATACTGGCCCATTTATGTGCCTTATCCAGTCGTAGTAGGGTTATGGCACTCACAACTTAGGTAGCGAGAATTTACTCTTCTAATATAATCCTCTGGGTGTAACCAGAACTTCTAATATAATCCTCTAGGTGTAACCAGAGCTTCTAATATAATCCTCTGGGTGTAACCAGAACTTCGAATATAATCCTCTGGGTGTGACCAGAGCTTCTAATATAATCCTCTGGGTGTAACCAGAGCTTCAAAAAAGAAAACTGCCGTCCAAGTATGATAAATACTCGCGTATAGATAACCAACTTTCAACCTTTAAGAAAATATGGGATTTTCTGGGATAACCAAATCTTTCATAAATAGTCTGCTTTATGTGTAACTAATGGATAATCAAAACCTCTTTCATAAGAAAATATAGGATTTTCTTGGGAAAACAACTTTTCAAAGAATCAAAGAAACATGTCTTTTACCAGAATTAACAGCTTATATACTCACCAGCTTTATGCTGATATTTTAAAACTGCTTGTATTCTCAGGGCATCAATAGACAGGTACTCCTGCCAACTTTTTTAGAAGACGGAGCTTATCGGATTCACGTCTTTTA